GTCTCTTCCAACCCAAACCAATCTTTGATTCTATGATATACCAAAAGACACAAGTGATGTTACACAGTGGATATATTAAGTCACTACTTTAAGTATGCAAAGAACTGAAGTGAGATGTGTTACTATACCTTCATCAGACTTGTAGGTGTTATTCCTATTTTGTAGTGGATCAAATGCAGACTGAAAAGAACTCAGCTGGACAGTATAGAGCAAATTCTATAAAAAATATTATAATAATATTTTAAGTATAATTGAATGTAACTATACTGCTTTCTGAATATTTTTTATTTATTATTTCGTATTACTAAATATTTTCAAGTGTAAAAATATTAGTGTATACTAATACAGTTATGTATTCTAGTTGATTTGACTCCTTCCATTAGCGGTGACAGCAAGCTGACTAAGCACATTGATTCAAAATTGTGTGACACTGAACAAATCTTTGATATTTCTGAAATTCTTTCCATTTTAAAGGTAAATAAGCTTTTTATTTTTTATCAGATTTAATATTTACCTGTACATCCTGAGCAGGCTTCTGTCTTTTAGAGGCTATACTTTGTCTTCTGTGTTCTGAAAAAACTCTATGTTCATTTTCATGGTTGTCAAAAACCTGCATTTGTCTTGTAGCAGGAGCAACACCTTAAATGACATGCATACAAAAGTAAACCAAAAATATGTAAACACTTGATGAAGATAGAAGTAGCAAAACTAATAGTGATGAGTAAATGTCTCTGTCCAAACTTAGATGTTTAGCTTGAATATGTTTACCTTTGATGTCACTAAATGTATTTTCTTATAGTGAGAAGAGAGAAACAGGCACTCCTAAGGCATATTTAATTTCACTTAGCATAGGACTACATGTAGCAGATTCGAATTATATGTGGACATTTATAAGCAGGTTAAGTGAAGCCCAGTGTTGAATCCCAGATAATGAAGACGGTCTGTGCAAAAATACAAGGTGGTCTTACCAAGTAAGAGGAAAAATGAACAGTGAACTATGATATAACAAATATTGAATAATGTCCCAAACCCTAACGTTTTATAAAGTTGCATTTAGAGAATAGTCATAAAGTCTAAAGTCCAACACAGAAAATGCCTGTTGCCAAGGTCCTATATTCAACATCTGTTAAGACTACACTGTGCAGAAAAAATGTACTAGTTCACAGTTTATTTGATTCACAGAATCACCAAATGATTGAGGTTTGAAGGGACCTCTGGAGGTTGTCTGGTCCACCCCTCCTGCTCAAGCAGGGCCACCTAGAGCTGGTTGCCCAGCACCAGCTTTTGAGCATCTCCAAGGATGGATACTCCATAACCTCTCTTGTCAACCCTTTTCCAGTGCTTGGTCATGATTATAGTATAAGAAGTGCTTCCTGATGCTCAGAGGGAACCTCCTGTGTTTCAGTTTGTGCCATTTGCCTCTGGTGTATTCAGGAACCACTGAAAAAAGCCAGGCTGTGTTCTCTTTGCACCTTCTTTTCGGGTATTTATGGACATTGATAAGGTTCCCCTGAGCCTTCCCTTCCCAATCTAAGCAGTCCCAGCTTTCTCAGCCTGTCCTCCTAGAAAACATGCTCCAGTCCCTTCATGATCTTTGTAGCCCTTCATTGGAGTCTCTGATCTGTCCGTACCTCTCCCGTACTGAGGAGCCCAGAACTGGACACAGTCCTCAAGATGTGCCCAAGATGTGGCACAGGTGTAATTTGAATGCAAAGCCATGGTTTAAAACCTTAGTTTCTACATCTTGGGATTCAACAGTTAATCTTACTAATTTATCCATCTCTATACTAGTTTTCATGACAGGACTGCTGTGTTGCATTTTCCCTTGGCTATAGAGGCCTATCCTAGACGCTATACCTCACGTTTATCTCAGTTTTGTCTGGTGTAATAATACACTTTTTCAAAATTAAAGCATCAAGTTTCAAAATTAAAATTAATTTCTTGATTAAAATTTCATGCATATGAATTGAGATACAAATCAGCATTTTCATGTGCAAGTCAGGAATCCACGCATCCAAGAAGATATTACACTCTCATTTGCAAACTCAGTTCAGCTAGTTGATTTATAAATGCAGTTACATGATTTATACTTGGGAAGATAAATTATCTATTTATTTACATAATAAATATTTACATGCTCAGTTTAATGTACAGTTCATAGTTATACCAAGAAGTCTTTTAGTAAGTTTAACAGAATTTTATTTCTTTAGTTATTATGGTGTTATTTAATAAAGCAGAATTATTACTATTTACAGAAAAAGAAAACAATTGCTTCATCCTGGAAGCAGATTTGAAACTAGTCATATGGCTGCTGACATCAAGGGGAACATGGGACAATTAGCTTTAAAAGGTTGACAGTTATATGCGAACTATCGTGATGTGACACTTGGTGCTGAATAGCACCTGGAAAGAAATGTGATCATGTTATATTGAATATAGGGAAAATTTTAAAAGAAGCAAAGAAGAAACTTCTGCCTTTCACTACATGAGAGAGATTGAGTCACTGGAGCAGGTCCAGAAAAGGGCAACAAAGCTGGTGAAGGGTCTGGAGCACAAGTCTGATGAGGAGCAGCTGAGGGAACTGGGGTTGTTCAGCCTGGAGAAAAGGAAGCTCAGGAGACACCTTGTCACTTGCTACAACTACCTGATAAATGTTGGAGAGAGAGAGTGGCCAGTCTCTTTTCCCAAGTAACAAGTGATAGGACAAGAGAAAACAGCCTCAAGCTGTGCCAAGGGAGGTTTAGATTAGATATCAGGAAAAATTTCTTCATAGTGCTCAGGCACTGGAATAGGCTGCCCAGGGCAGCGGTGAAATCACTGTCCCTGGAAGTGTTCAAAAACCGTGTAGATGAGGCCCATAGTGACATGGTTTATGGTGCCCTTGGCAATCCTGGGGTAAAGGTTGGACTTGATCTTAGAGGTCTTTTCCAACCTAGCTGATTCTATGATTCTTATATTAATAATCACATGTTTTTCTGAAAAATAAAAACAAAAGTTGCTCTATTGATATGTGTCAACACTTAAATTAAGTGGTTTGCAAGACATGATGGATCTATGTCAAGGAAAAGACTCCTTTGAGAAATGTAAGACAGAAACATAATAAGCAATAATATCTTTAAGTGCACGAGATACTGAGCAGTCTATCCTTGTTAAACTATAAACAAATGAATTAGTCTAATATTTGTCACAGGCTAAATGTTAAATATATTTTTAAAGCATTTTACTGACTGAATACCAAAGGATATTAAAAATAATTCTAATATCCAACTACAGTATAATATGTGTCAGCCAGAAGATACACGACTTAAAGCCCAATTAAAGAAGATTCTCATGGACAACAATTTTATTTATTCACCCTGTTCTGACTTTTTCTTTCTGTATATTTGTCCAAACATTGCAACATGTCACATTTTCTACAGGGTCCTCATAGACCTCACTTAACTCTGTAATAGTGCCACAGCAGGTATTTTACTCAAGAACAATGCAGTATTCAGGCTCTCATAGCAAGCGCTTCAGGGCAACTATGGTGATCTATGTACATTTTCAGACAATGGGACAAATAATCGCGAGTCATTAAGAGGTATCTATCATATTTAAAATAAAGAAGACTTTCAAAACAAAATCTAAGCAGATAGTGAGTGAGGGCTACCCACCCAAATCTTAAAAAGAGGTTATGCAGCCCTTCCTCTAAAAGAGCTGGAGCTGTGCGACACTCGGGATGTAGCGTTTTAAGTTTCAGCGAAGACAGTATTCGTAGTGCCCACAACTTTGACTCCGTACGTTTCCTGATTCATTGATCTGATGTGCAAATAAGGACATCAAGAGGCAAGTACCTCTGCTGGAGGCAAGGCATGGTAATGCAAGACTCCATTCATTTCCAATGTAAAATCAAATACGTTAACTGAAGTCTCACATATCTTAAGCTCATCTGTTTGACTTTGAACTGGAATGGACAAGCAGATAACATTTCTCATTTCCCACCCCTGCTTTAGGCCAAGAATATTTACTTGCCTCTGTTCTTAACAACAGAGCTGTTTTGAATCACTCCATAGTTAAAACTATGTATTGCTGTAGACAAAACTAGAAATTTAGGCTTGGTGGTGGGGTTTTTTTGTTGGGTTTTGGTTGATTTTTTTTTAAGTTGTGGGAATTATTCATTTTGCTAGAAAGTATCTTGAGCTGCATGGCCAATCCTTGTGGTGATCCCACTATGTGAAGTGGTTTAGAATGCTCCTTGTACCTGACACAGGGTCTACAGCCTCAGGAGCTCCGCCTCCAGCTGCAGCCCTCAGAAGGAAGCAAACCAGCGTACAACATTCAAATTACAAGCACGGGGATGCCATCAGTGCCCAAGGCACAGAATACAGTTAGGCTGCAGAGGAGAAACAAGGCAAATCAAAAAGCATGAAACCCATGTAGAAATGTAAAACCCAGGAGATTAAAGTTTATTCTTCCCATATTTCTTATGCTTCTTTCCTCTGTCTTACTGAGCAATCTCTGCATCATATTGTTCCCAAGACTAACTTTTAATAAAAGGCAAGATTGGTCCTCAATTTCCTTAAAATTCTTTATAAATCAGACACACTTTGTAGCAGAGCAAAATTTGTCTGGTAGAAGATCCCTATTTTTAACTTAAATTTTATTTTTTTTTAGCATTAATTGTATTATTAGGACTCAAACATAATAATTTTAGGCATTTACAATGTCAGCATTTGAAAAACGTGGCAGATATGCATTTCTCTCACTCTCACTTGTCAGTGACTGTTGGACAAGAAGCTATGACTCTCAGTTACCTTGTAAAACATGCTCATATAAACTTAGTCACTTCCTTCCATATAATTACTTAGAGCACCTGTCACACCTGCTCATTAGTCAGGAATATAATCTCAGGGAAAATACTTCCTTTTCATTTAATATTGTATAAAGCTATTAAAAATGGGTATCAATGTTTGAGAGGCCTCTAAGAACCACTAGAATAGAAATGACAACGACAAATGGTGAAAACTTGTTAAAACTGGCTGTATTGTGTGAATGGATGAAAGGCTGAATGCTTTAACTGAAAACAAACTTGTGTAGTCTTTGAAATAGGCTTTTGTCTGAACATACCCCCTCCCCAGACCCAGAAACATGACTCTTACCAGTAGCAGAGCCTCTTGGAGCTTGGGCACTATGTGCTCCTTGCCAGGAGGTACTTGTTTTTCCAGCTGCTGGGATATGATGGAGATGTAATCCATTTTCTGTGTTAACAGGTCTTCTTCCAGTGCAGGTTATTGAATGATCCTGACAGGCGCTTGTCTGAACAGTATTTACAGAACAAGTATTTTTTTCCCAAGGTCTGTGGTTGGCCGTGCTGCAGCCAGGTGTAGAAATCTCAGCGGCCAAGTCAGAGTGACAAGTAATACTCTGACTGTATTCTGTACCGTTTCTATTTAAAACCTGATCTGCTAACACAACATGCCTTTCATTTAAATCATTCCGGCTTGTAGCGGTTGCTGGAAGACTTGAAGGCAGGAGTGGCTGACACCGAGGGCTGGCTGTGTTTTCACCACTTCTGCTTCCTGGCAGAGGTGTGGATGGTGGGTGAGGTGCTAGAAATTTCCCTGGAGCGTTTCGAGTTTTGCTGGTTTCTGTGGCCAGCTGTGGTCGGATTATAGTGCCTGTTCTCTTCTTGGGCATAAATCTTGGCTGTGCTCTTAGAGATATCGTTCTAGCTATTTTTGACCTATTTTTCAGTTGATTACCTTCATTAATCTTAGAATTATTACTATATACTGGGGGTTTACTTTCTTCATCATTTGATACCATCCAAGCTTTTTTAGCAGAAACGGATTCAGTAGGCATAAATATATTCAGAGATGTGCATTCTTTATTTGATTCTTCAGTATTAACATTTGGTTTTGATATATGAGAGTTTTCCTGTTGATATTTTATGAACATGGGGTTTGAAGGTTGAGCAACAATACTTAAATTAGTCTTAGGAGCATTATTTATAGTTTGAACACATTGCAGCTGTGCAGAAAATATTTCACTGGTGGTTTTTTCATAGCATTTTTCGTTATTTTCTATTATTATCTGTTTAATTTGATCACACCATTTAATCTTTCTGTTGTATTTTTCATTTTCTGCAGTTTTCTTTTTGATTTTTGCCAGTTCTAAACTGTCTCTGATAGAAGACATGGGTTGTGTTCCAAAACTGATCCCCTGGTTCGTAACCACAGCTTTGAAATGATTGGGTTCATATTTAGAATCCTTCTTTAAGATACTTCCAAGAAACTTTGCTCTTTTTCTTTCTAGAATATTGTTTTTCAGGGTTTTGTGCTGTGCAGGAGTGCGAGAATTGAACTCTGTATCAGACAGCAGTGATACAGTTTCAACCATATTTCCCTTTTCTTCCTCTTTGTTATGCTGTTGCTTAACATGGCATAGAACTGAGGCATTTGGTATGTCCTGAAATAAAGATGATCCTGGAATAATGTAATCAATATCTTTAACATTTTCTTCTTCTGTTTCAGTAATTTTTCCTGAGGTATTTTTTAAAAACTCCATACTGATGTTTTTGACTTTTGGTAATGTATCAGTTGTGCTGGGAATGCCAGTGGAACATCCCTGATTAGGAAATGAGAATATAGATGTTGCAATAGGTTGACTAGAGGTTTGCACAGATACATTTCTGTTTTGTGGGGTCATTTTAAAACTCTGATCTTGCATCAGATCCTGAACTCTTTCTCCTGGAATAGAATCAGGGTTGGCCCAAGTTTTGCTGGGATTCAAAACAGGATGACCAGTGGGTAATGTGGAAGCAGTTCCAGAAGACGGCTTGTTGCTTTCTTGTTTTATACTTTGTAGAAAATTAAACACATTGCTTACAGAGACTTCTTGCTTACCAGAGGTAGAGAACTCTGAAGAATGTTTTCCAGATTTGTCAGAAGCAGATGATTCCTCTTCTGAAGTGTTTAAATGTTCAGCAGATATGTTTAGCTAAAAGATCATGAGTAGGTAAGTTGTGGTAGTATTGCGAATCTATGTTTCTCAGACAATTATTTAGATGCATATTTTTAGAAGAAGTACTTTGAGCTGTATAAAGCAAACCATTATTCCTAGTCTGTGATTTTTCTGGATTGTAGAGGGTACAGTCACACTGTGTAGTCGAAGATGATTCACTCGGTGTTGTGTAATTTCCACTTTGTTCTCCAGCCTCAAGACTGTCGAGGCTTAACACGCTTTCTGAATCATCTGTTTTCTTGACTTCTTGATGAAAATTCTGAAATACAGGCGTAAACCCAGACTGTTACATTTAATCAGAAACAGGTTTTTTTGCTTGTTTGTTTGTTTGTTTGGGGTTTTTTTGCTGATATTATTTTTTTCAATAATGACAGCTTAGGCTAAAATACAATCAATATTGAGCCTGGTGTTTTTACAGATTGGGGTCATAGCATCATGAATGCTTCCATCAAGTCAAAATTTGCCTGTGTTCAATTGCAAATGAAAATTATATAGTTTGGGGATGAAATTCAGAGGAAATAGCTGCATAAGTTCAATAAATTTAATCCTAAGTTTTATATAATTCTACAATATTTAAAAAGGAACAAGATTTTTCTGAACAACACTACTGTTTCTGGAATGTGCTATGACACAGGATGCACTCTGTGTCATCTTGTACTCTGTAAGGGTACCTAACTCAGTTTAGAAAATGAAAAAGTATCCATGAAAATGCAGATTTGGTAGTGGGTCTGCCCCATACTGGAACTTTTCCATAATACTAGCCTGAATATGATTATTTTCATATGAAGTGCCACGAGTGATGAGGATTTAAGCCTTTTCATAGCAAACACAGACAACACTTCTCAGCTATCATAATCACAGTGATTAACACCTCACCTCAGTGGAACCCCTGCTTCTCATCTTTCAGAAAGAAGGAAATATCATCTGATCTAAGAGGACAGATTAATTCTAAGGCATATGGGAGTCCCATCCACTCCCCCAACTTCTTTGTTGAACTTCAATGTAGTGATGAATAAGAGTAACTGGCACCATCTGAACCGCCGCTGGGACTTTATGTATGTACTATATAGGCATCTTCTTCACTATTACTTCTCCATCCAAACACTGAGATGCCTGACCTGGTTGAAAATTCATGGCTTTTAAGGTACAAGATTTCAAAACAGACATAAACATAAAGGAAAACAAGCATATCAAGTATTTTCACAACCTTGTACGCACTCTCTTGTGAAAGTTCACTTCCACAGAACTCAGCAGCTAAGTGATTTTAAACCATATGTTGGAAAAAAGTGTCATGAAGAACTAAGAGAAGCTGAATTAGGTATGCAATCTTACACAATTAAGTTTTTTTCTTTTCTTTAGTTATTTGAAATGGAAAATGTTTCCTGTAGCAAAATCTGTTAACCTAGGTAAGTGGTTACAATACCCTCTGGCAGTTACGAAAGAATTAACACATAGAAAACTTACCAAAGAATGCATACAGTTCATTATCGAATAAGAATACATTTTCATAGTAAATATTTCTTTTTTTTTCTAATTCTAATAAAATTATCATACCATAATATTGCATAGTTCATAGTTGTACAAATATTTTAAATTGTAGAATAAAAAGCTTAGTGAGTCCCGAAAGTCTTTTTGTGATTGAATTAAATCCTATCTTTCACTAAATGTTCTGAGGGTGGTGCAGATTTCCATTAAAGTTATGATTTGAGATAAAGAAACTAAATAGAAGAACAAAGAACCAAGTGTATGGAAAAATCCCTTTAGGGAATATTTCAAACTAAAGGCACACAAACTAGTGTCTTTCTAATAGAAAAGAAGAAATAGAAAATAAATAATGCTTTGCTAGTTATTTATTACCTTCATGTTTGGCGAAATTATATTGTTAACCTCTGCTTGAACTTCACCAAACAAGAAAAAGGCATATGCTCAGTTTTCTGTATCAGGCCAGATTTAGGAACTACCTTCGAAATTTTCAGATGGGAAAAGAACAGTAAGAAGAAATTCTAGGTGTCAGGCTTACTTGTCTAACTTGGAAGTCGCACCTGTACAGCTAAATGTGCTTCTAAAACTACTGAGTTAAAGAGGGGGAAAACCTTGTAAAGATCGATTTTAAGAATCCTGTTCCCGTAGTGGGTTAGCTTAAACTGGTAAATACGGAGGGTGCAAGAAAAGTTGAAACTTCTAAAAATTAAGATAAAAAAAATTCTACCCAGTTACGCTCCAGAGGTTGAAAATAGACTTGATCCTGCATTATATAAAATTTTACTGTCCTTGTAAAACAAAACCCAATGGGAAGACAAAATCTCAGTTGAGGCAACCTTCAGAAGTGTTAGAAACTAAAGAATAAAGGATTCTTCATTTAAACACATAGACACTTTTACTTAGTTCGTGCAAATTTAGTTCATTTACATTTATTTTGTTACATCACAAGTTTTCATCTTTTGATGCATTAAAGATGCTTATCATACCCATTAAAATATTTACATATATTATTTCCCTTTCTAGCCTCCTCTGTAATGAAAATGAATGTCACATTTTCGTATAGAAATTCATAACTAGAACTACTTCTGCAGACCTCAAAAAGCATTCAAGAAATATTCGTTTTCTAGTGGTCCATAGCTAGAGGGAGATAAACCTGGAAATCCTAATGATTTAATTCGATTCAAGCTGTGAGAATATTATAGGGAAAAAAAAATGTTTATAGAGTGTGCTATCTTTCCATTTTCTGGATTTGCATATTTTTTGTGTGATACAATTATTGCATTGCCCGTTGCCTGCATTATCCTATCATCTCCTCCTGCATGAAATCTAAACCTTGCCTGCCCACATACTTGGTATTCTATGAAAGGGAACACTTACAAGGAGTTAAAGTGGTCACTTATACCTCTCAAGGCTTAGAACAGCTGTGTCAAGCCATTTCACTTCAGGAAAGCACTGAGAAAGCACGAGCCTAAGAAATCTTTCATGACACCAATGAAAGAACAATACTGCAACAAGTAAAATTTCAAGAAAACCTGACAAGTGAATTTTCTGCCAAAGGACTCTGTCAGGATGCTATTACACTGAAAAGCTGCTATATGTATATTTGACATTTTCTGTAAAAGCAGTGCTGACTGTTCACAATTCCAAGAGGTGAATGCAAACACTCTTCTGAAGATAAATGAAGAAAAATAATACCTACCCTGAAAACCCAGGCCCCTCACGTCTCACACTACTTGCTATTTTTGATCATTTTGACTGGCTTACTTGCAGGAGTTTTTCGTGTGTTATATGTGTATGTATAACATGTTATGTTTCAGATTCCTTGTGAAGTAAAAGATACCAGTGGTCATACAAAGCTAGTGCTCATACCCAATGAGGTACCTAAACATCTCTACTGGTTTGGGGTTTACCAACTATAGAATAGAAAAGTCCATTTAAAAATTAATAATTTCTTTTCTATGCAAGTTTGGAAAACATGATGTACATGTACACACAATATTGATTTTACAGAAGATTTGGCCAAGAGAGCAAATGCCACTGAGAAAGGGTTTTGGTGCTTACATTACGCAAAAGATCCATTATACTGTGCCAAACCCACCAAAGCAGTTATAGAGGTATAGGATGACTAGAGAAAAGCTTCCTATCAGCATCCCTAGTCTTTCCTCAGTTGGTTCCTAGGTGCCTCATTTCCCTCCCAAGCTAAGTTACAGAAACTAGCTATCTATGAACCTGAGTATTTAAAAGGACCTGATTAACTTGTTTGGAACACCTAGGATGCTAGAAATACAGGTTCAAACTTCTTGGGATAAAAAGAACTCAAGTTTCCAATACCGTAGGCACTCAGGCACTTCAATGAGCCATACTGTACTGAATGATTTTGAAAGAAAAGTGATCTGAACACTGAATGTCAGGGTTTCAAGTTCTGACTTCCAGTTACAATGAAGTCCTGAGGTAAGCGTACAAAACTGTGTAGGAAGCATGTTTTCAGCTAAATGGTTCTCTCCATTGCTTTTTATTAATTAATTTAGCATCTCAATACTCAGACTGCTGCTTCTCAGGATCCCTGTTCCAGGTGCCTTAATCTCACAGACTAACCTAGTCATTCAGCTCCAGGAGTGGAATTCATAATGCTAGTTTTTGAATAGTATTAAAATAATTAAATGATTAAATGTTGAAGCAGAGCACCTCAATGCATTAGTCCCTATTTTGTTTCTACCCCATTAATAAATTTCTTTTAGGAGGCTCCATCTACCCTGCAAATTTAAGAGATGGGGTTATGTAAAAACTGCAAAATTGAAAACCATCATAAGGAAAATAAACATGGAGAACAACTGGGCATGCATATGCAGTAATAATTCTAGAATTTCTTAACTGCTTAACTAATGATATTTTAATGTTATATATAAAATACAATGACATAATTTAATGATAACATTCATAGTTATTTACAATCTATGTTATGTTCGATGTCATTTTGGCAATCTCAAAAAATGAGAATGGAGATCAGCTAAAAATTTACTCATTTTCACTTTGAAATTTGCAGGTTATAGAAAAAACGGTGTTTTAAAAAATATTTCATAGATGAAGCTGCTTCTAGATGGTACTTTAGAGACAGGAATGAAATGGAAACATTTCTCAGATTTTTTTTTTCTGTTTTAAAGCAAATAACTAATCCTCTCTCTCACTGATGTTAAAGTCTTAATGATGAGATTCAAAGCCCTGAAATTATCCTTTTCAGAAAAGTTTTCCAACAAAGTCTGATTTATGAGGGAAGAAGAGAAGAATAACTTATGAAGGAAAGTATTTCCTCATCTTCTAGAAATCTCAGAATCCGTCTTCCTGGTTTATTCTTGTTCACAAATACACAAATAACAGACTGTTGATAGATTTGAATGAACTGGAGCTGTTGCATCAGAAAAAAAACCCCAACAACCTATTTGACCAGTACATTCCTCCTGAAAGACCCAGAACCATGCAGTGTATATATATATAATTTCCAAAATAATCCCTAGTTCAGCCAAGGGACCATCCTATCAGATCTCTCAGACTTGCTAAAAAATTAGTATACATTTTTTGCAGTCTGTAAAAAAGTTTACTTTTTCTTTTAGCAATGTAAATACATTGCAAAGGTAGAACAGTTTTAACATCTTTCCACTCTTATCTTGTGCACTGCACAGCAGCAACCAAGGCAGAAGGTGGATTTATACTAGGAAATCCTAAAGGTCAGATACAGAAATACTTTCAGAATCACAAAATAGCTTGAGTTGGAAGGCACCC